TCGGACGGGAGGTGCACAAGCGCAGCCTCCCAGATATGCGCAGGCGTTATCTGGGCCGGAGCAGCCAGTGCGATACACTAACCTCGATCAAGCGACCTGCCTGCACTCCCTTAACACGGTGGAAGTAGTGCACGTGGCCGTTCTCTCACTCGTCGGTGCATGATGACTACGTGGCCGTATTCAATTGCTGTGTACCTAGTTCACTCGATATGATGAACTGTACGCACGCGGATGTAGATTAACAAAAGCATTGCTGAGATGCTGTGTAAAGGAGGAGCTAGACTTCCATTATTTTCAGAAAGCCTTCCTCTCGTACAACTGCAAGTATGGCATTTTTCCCATGACCGGATGTTGGAGCCGTGCAGTGAAAGCAAAATTTGAACTGTGCAGAGGTTCACCAAGGACTAATGATGGAGTTGCAGAGGCTCGCCTCAATGCTGTAGATGGGATGTATGTTGAGAGCTCATAGTAGGCTTGATGCGACGCTATCCTCAAGTACGATACGTGATGCTACCTGCAACCGGTTAGTGTCCATTAGTGCAATCTTGCATTAATACGCACTGGCAGCATATCATCAGCCCCGGCGTGCGCACTACTCTGAATATGAGTGCGTGTACTTATCGTAGTTTGAGTGCTGTCATAGTATGCAGCCATTCGCAGTATCCGCTGAGGATTGCACGTTTTAGGAGTCAGCACAACTCCGATGCGATATAGTAGCAGTAGGCGAGGTTAAACTTCGCTCACGCAGCATGACGAGTGATACTTAAAATAAACACTTGAGACGTTAGGAACGATGTCCAGATATAGATATTTCAAATGACTCGGCACGGGAGGCAGGCGTCAGCTATGAATCCATTGCAACATATGCACGCGCAACAATATCCGTGCTGAGTCATTTGAAAGTACCAACGGTTTTACTGGGGATGTTCAAGGACGGCAGAGATCTGTGTATACTCGATCTTTGTATCCTTTTTGAAAGATTCCCTGTTGAGCGTCCGCTTGTCTGCGTCATGAATTGTTTCAAGTAGTTGACAGGCTTTGGGGGGAGATATCTTGCTACACTTTGTGTATTTTATGCACGTGGGATGTTTGCTGTGCTGCGCGGAATGGGGCTTGGCAAGAAAATGCACCAGGGATGATTTTGGTAAAGGGAACAATATTCCCTGCATGGTTCTGGCCATTAAGGTGGGACAATGAGTATACCTGCAGACAGCAGATAGCACAACGTTTATGGGTTGTAGTCTTTCACCTTAAAGTTGTGTCCGGCACGATGCATTGCCCCGGCACTTCGTGCTAGTCAATATCGAAAGTGAACTACGAGCGTTCCCGGTGCGAAGGGCAGCTTTTGGGGGTAAGATGGTCAATGCATGGTTCGTCTGTATACACAGCGTGTGAGCAAGGGCCTGGCTTGAAGTAGTGATAGAGAATGATTAACTGCGCACGGATTCAATAGCTTCCACCAGGATTGTGGAGGCGGTGGTTTCAATTCGCACACATGGAATACAATCAGTGGATTTCCTTGATGTGTAGGTAAAGATAGTAGGCGCAGCAAGAGCTTGCTGAGCATCTCAGAGTATCGCTAGCTTGAGGGAATAAGTACGCATGGATTCAATAGCGTCCAGCAGGATTGTGGAGGCGGCGGCTTCAATTCGCACACATGGTATACAATCAGTGGATATCCTTGCTGAGTAGACGAAGCCAGTATGTGCAGCAAGAGCATGCTGAGTATCGCTAGCGTGGCGAATGCGCAGGATTGGGGACAAGAAATCCGTGTCGTGCTTCACATTAAGGATTCCCTGTAGCCAGCAATCGTTGATTTGTCTGTGATTTACTATCACAGTCCCACAGTCCGCGTGGTTGCCCACGAAGCGGGTAAGCAACAGTGGCGTTTCCGGAAGCTGGGGACCTTCGTGTCGCCTATAGAGGTGTTGGGTTCCGCAGCAAATCAAGTGCCACATACAGCAGGAGAAATTGGACGTATCTGATCGAGTAGAACTTACAGGCACCGCGTTAGAACAGGCGCACCACTATGCCGGCGTTTGTCTGGAAGGTGCCTAGCAAGATGAACAAGGTGTACATAAACCTAAACCTAAAAAGCTCGAAGTGCCCTTCGGAAATGATACGGTTAACGGTCGTTGTACTGCTGTCATGGCCACAAAGCACCATTGGGGTGGAGAGTGGGTACGCATTGCTCTTTACGCTTCCGTTTTGCCGACGCAGATCGTGCGGGACGATGATGATGATGACCCTGAAGAAGTGAGACACCATAGCCTGTGTGGGTGTCCTTAGTTGCTTTGGCTTTGGCCCACGCAGCCCGTGCGACGTAGTGGCGAGGAGGAAGTGAGACGGCATACAACGTGTGGGGTTACTGAGTTGCTCTTTGGCTTTGGGTGTTTTGAAAGCGAGGCAGCCCGGTTGCAACATTTCTGGTTAGATGCTGCTCTACGGTAATGTGATGAAGATCGTGAAGACGCTCTGAGAATCCATTCAGCGTAACCAGCAACTGTAGCTTAGGGCCACAGAACGATCATTGATAGGTGCTAACGTTTCATTCTGTAGTTCTACCATCCCCGACAATCCTGTTGCTGGATAGATGTGGTGCTGCGGCAACAATTGGAACATTTCCAGGAGCTTCCAGAGGCTATCGACTGGAGAATAAGCGTTTTGCTGCTGAACCGCGACATTGTTACCAATACCAGAACAATCTTGAGCGTTTGGACAGTGTCATGTTCAGTAGGTACGGCCCAGAACTATTTTTTGCTGAGTTGCACATGTCGGTGCGTGCAAGGTACGCCGCTCATTGTCCATGTTCGTCATGGAGGAATGGTACTACTAGGAACAGGAGTTTCCCGTATACTGCAGGCGTTGTTCGAAGTTAATGTAGACCACAGAGCACACCTTGCTGGTAGTGACGACTGGCCTTGAAACTATGAACAGCCAGCTTCCCCATTTTTGGCTTGCTTGTTGTCGGTCTTCGTGGTGCCATTGGTGAAGCCCACCATCTTGCGTATGGAGTATTGTTCAGATAAAGTGTTTCAGCATTTGCTTTCTACGCGATGTTTCCACGGAGTGAGAAACAGTGTTTTGCGGAGCTGCGCCTTTTGGCATTGCTGTGGAAGCTGCTCTTCCACAGCAATGCCAAAAGGCGCAGCTCCGCACAACCGAACATTTCCACTGTCAAACGAAGTGCTATTGAATACTATGCTGTCTTCACAGTGGTGCAAACGAAGTGCTATTGAATACTATGCTGTCTTCACAAAGTGTGGTAAATGAGAATCATACTAGGCGACCTTCCTCCAGGACACTCGGGCATCACATAACTCACACATAGCAAAAAGGAGCTGCATGGATTCTCCAAATGGTTTAGCTCTTCTCTGACCCAGCCCTGAAGGGGATCCTTGAAGGGACACTGCGTGTATAGAGTACGACTTCGGATAGTACTAGCCTTCGTTTAGGGGAATGCTGCTTCGAAATATTTTAGTGCGTCACCATGCAATGTACTTGTTGTGCTGGTGCAGGCCTTCACTCTTCTGTTGTCTAGCCAGTGCATTCTATCCGTAGGTATGCATTTGCCGTTCAAAACTCGTGAATACGGGGATGAGTAGTCCCTTGACTGAACGGTTTATCTACGCATCAGGTGACCTGATGCCGTCTCCATTTATATATATGCTTTTTGGCTGTTCCCGGCTATTTAAGTTCGTGAGAGCAACACCTAAGGAACAGGAGCATCTTCCTTACAGCTTGCTTACTTTTTTATCCAGGGAATCCACAAAGCTCCCACGATAATACGAAAAGAGCACTGGGTTATTGGTCCACTGTAAAGTTTCACGCGTCCTCATATGGGCGGCTCGCTGATTGGCATTAATTTCAGGCGAATTATGGATGGTTTTATCCCATGCAGTACATAGTGAAGGTGCTTGCACACGCATTTAAAGTAGCCATAACCCTGCAATCGCCTGGCATGAGTGCGTCCGTATCCTACTTTTGCAACTTAGGAACGCGGATGACCATGGTGTAACTGGTGGATCTACGAGGAGGTTTATGCGGACCCGCCACAACAAGCTATCATCGGCAGACCACTCCGAGGTTTGCGCCCCCCGTTCAAGTACAGGAGGACTGGAAGAGGAAGGTTTGTGTTTGGTGCTAGTGGCCGTCCGACTGCCTGTTCCTGCTCTCCGGGAAATTACGCAGGGACGGCCTTTTTGTGTTCATCTAGAAACCGATTTTTTTCCTAATTGTGGCCCAGAAACTTTTCGAAGTCGGGCTTTGCAGACTCCAGTAGAGTATGAATTTATCTGTTAGCAGCGTAGCAAAGGTGCCCCACGAGGTAAAAGTTTGAAGCGAACTATCACCATAGATTGGCACGTAGATGTGGTTTGTTTTGCCCAGGTAGCACAATTAGCACAATTGGCTCTAAATACTGCTCATAATAGCATGAACAGACACATGCACATGCCAAACGCATTGCCTTGAGTGGTATCGCCTCCTTCCTATGGCGAAGAGAAACAATGCAGCGTAAGTTTTGTTGGGAAGACTTTCCAGAAGCAAGACCCATCTGGAGGAAAAATAATTATACAAAAGCCGCTTGATCGGTCGAAAGCAAACCGCACGAACATTTACTCCACCCATAGCAGCAGAAGGAAGTTCTTCCCTTGTGGGTGGAAGACTTCATCGGTACTTGAGGACACCCGGTACCAAATATTACTTGTTAATAGGGGTACAAGTCGGCGCCAGTTGGCTGGCTTAAAGGCTTGTCTGGATATCCTCCGTGCTCGAAATACCAAAATAATCTGGTGTGGTCGATCCGTTGGTGGTCAGCTTTCGAGTGGTTCGTCCCCCCAAACTCCAGTTCTTCCCACAACTGGGGAGACAACACAGCAACAATTGAATAGAAGTAACGACAGTTTCGCCTTTGGCGAGGGCACTAAGCCCTGGACCATAAACCCTAGACTTTGAGGCGTTCTACAAAATCCTAGACGCTGAACCATAAACCCTAAACCCTAGTCACCGTACACGCACAAAAGCCTTACCTTTGGATCGTAGATATCAATGCCGTGTTTTTCGTAGCACCGCTTTGCAATCAAGTCGTAATCCCAACGGTTCCACAGCTCAGGAACAAATTTGCCCAACTGCAATTGCAGCATATGCACCAAATGTAAACATACGACCATTCGTTGCTAAATGCTAAGGTGTAAATCTAAAAGCCGGGAGTTAGGCCACGAACCTGATCGCGATGAAGTGTCAGATCTTTGAAGGACTTGAAGTTCCTGCATCGGTCCACATCGTATCCAGTGTGTAACCACAAACGGTTGGATCAGGTGAGAACATTACAGCCTTGTCTTTCACCTTCATTTACTAGCTATTACTATTGTTACCGAGTCAATTTACCAACGTGTTGCGTTAGTACTTAGAGCTCGATATTTCCGTGCAGTATGCTAGAAACTGAACTAAATACAACTCCGGGGGCACTCAACAGGCCACCAAGATTCGCTGGAGAGAATTAGCTGGTTCCAAAAACGTGTAAATGCTCTACAGTAAATATAAAGGGTGAGAAATACAGGGCGCACTTGTAGATCACGTCGCTTATGGCTTTCCGGTTGTCGTAGAAAGCCCTCATCGAGTCCGTTGTGGGTACTCGTTGCACCTGAACAAACCACAGCCATTCTGACGCTATATCTCCTGGCGCTGACGCTGTGAGGAAACACGTTTTGGTCCGTGTACACAACGTACCTTTCCGCCCTTCCAGCATAAGTGCCAGTCCATATGATGCTGATCCTGTTGCTCCTCGGGTGTCAACGGCCTAAGATAAGGGCCATCTACAGTGTGCTTGTCCCAGCCAAAAAGCTGCTGCTCCTTCACGGCGAAATACTCTCCTGTTAATTGCACACTCCACAGAAAGTTTCGTTGCCTCTGTCACAACCAATATCAGGGGTTCAACGGTGCACGACAGCCCATCACGAAAAGCTCAAGCACAAGTCCATGCAGTAACCAATCTTCAGATGTGCGCATGGGCCAAAACCGTAGCACCAATTTAACAGCTCGTGTCTGGCTCCCCGATGGGTGGAGACTCTGCCTGTACCTGGAAGGCCCTCATCCAGCCTTTCTCTCCACAGTCGCAGATTAATGACTCCTTCATCTGATGGGTCGTCCAGCGCCCCAGCAGCTGCTCTGACTTCACGCTGAGCAAACACGCACAAAGGTGAAAAGCCATGCTCTGACACCTTGGTTTCTGCATTCGTGAGGAGGAACAGAAATCTCTTTGTCCGTGGTTCACCTTTGCTCAGCAGGTTCCCTCTTTAAATGACCCTCGCTAGAATGTCAGCAAACACGTACAGTGTGGGCTAGCCAAGAAATCAGCCACCAAGCTAAGCCACTTCTGGACGGAAGCTTCTTAAACGAACACTTACTGCTAAATTCAATCTGTCAAAGTAGGCCACCTTCTCCGCCAAAACGGGTTGGGGCTGAGCAGTAGCACGGAGGCAGTGATGCAGATAGAGAATGGATAGACAAGAATCACGCGTCCATTGCAATAACACAAATGGATGTCTGAGGACCTGCCTATGACAAATGTGTTGACAAACACTGTTTCGTTTAAAGGCATCGCATGGCACACTCATAGTTATGATTTCACCTGCTCCCTAAATATAACGCAGCTTCGCAAGGGAACTTTCTGAGGCAATATAGTGACATTATGAGGAGTCCACTACACACTGCAGAAGACAACACGTTACGGGAAAGCATTTAATGCGTTATACTCCTGCCTCTGCCTACCCAGTTGTCCCAGTAGGTCCCACCGCTCCATATGGGCTGCTTCCCCCACTTCATGAAGTCGGACTGAGAGAGTGGAGGCTGCACATGGCCCTCTGGGTCTGGAAGGTGGCTGAGCAGCTGTGGGCCCCCCATGGTGGGTGCCGTGTAGTGCAGGTAGAGCTCGTGAAGATGCTGCTCCACAGTAGGATGCAGAGTGTAATTTTGCGTCCGCACACTTTCTCTGGAAACACATTTCACACTGGACGCTACCTGGCCCTCTGGTCTGTTCACTGTACGCAAATAGCGCCTTTTGGCGTTATATTGCGCATTGTAGACATGCCCAGGGGCCAAGTGCTACCGTTCTCATGGCTCTTCACATTTGAGCCTTACCGCAATTGTCCTATTGTCCTAGGGCCAATGATAGTAGATGCAACCTGAGCAACGAAACGATGTAACCTCAAAGCCTTGCATGCACCTACAGCGAAACAACCGCTGCCAAAGCTCGGCTACACGCGGTTGTTGAAATGTCAACATTGTTATTGCCTCAGCCTAGCTGTTGCAACTGATGGACAACATCAAAGCAAGCAACGCTTAGGCCACCATGCGTCTTGCGGATACTTCTCGGCAGCTCTAACGCTGACACTTGGTGCTGTAAACGCTTACAAACGGCCTGGAATAAACCCAACTGAGGGCGAGTTGGGCTGCTGTTAGGCCACCTTGGCGCGCTGTCTTCAGCAACTCCCCCATCAACCACTGGCCCCATACAGACCTGAGGCGACACGTCCGTTAGCAGCGACCGTATACGGTAATCTGACGATGAGCCTGAAATCGAAGACATTTGGGGTCAGGGTAGAGGCGAGGAGCCTTGCCTGTGAGTGTGGTAGGTTGAAGGCCACAAGTTCGCGCGACCTGTCGAAGGCCCATAGGAGAGGTACCCAAAATCTTCCGGCACTTTGTAGCGGTACGTGCTAATGCCACTCTCCAACTCATCCTGTCCCTGCCTCACATCAGGGCCTTTCGCGTGAAAGCTGCAAGCAGCAGCACCCAAAGCCTTTGTTGAATTCGTAGACAAGGGCATGTGCCCCTTTTCTAAGAGATGCACTTCGCACGCTCAACCGAGCTGGGGCACCGATAAGTCTGCTCAGTCTGCGAAGCAATTATTGGCGGAAATTTGTCTGGCTACAATACAGTTTTCGCTACGAAGTGCAGAAACCAGAAGCGATGAGGTGTGCATCAACCGTGGTAACCCAAAGTGACGAAGGGTTCAAATGGCTGCCCGGTGAGCACGCAAATCAAGCACTGTCAATATTCACGGCCAATCCCTGCATGCCTCTACAGAAGTACAATTTGGCCTAAATACACGTATAATCGGCGTGCATGCCAGTGGCATCGGCTGCATACCGTTCAGGGTCGAGATATTTCCCCGTCAAAATTCCCCCCGCGAGAGTCCCGTAAGCGAGCACAGGCACTTTTAGTCTAAAAGCTATCTCAGGGATCCCTGCACAGAGTCGAATAACAGAATCCCGCAACAACAACAGCAACTGCAAGCCTCTTTCGGAGATCAGCAGCCTAACAGACGGCCCCGCAATACAGCAAATGAGACATTATATCAACAGTTCAGCACATCCCCTCTTCTTAAGTGCCTGTGACGTCGCGTATTCTCAAGATGGCATTATGCAGGGCAACAAGGGGTCAGCAGCAGCACCGGAAGCTTCAAGTTCGTTGCGGTGCATGATGTTGTAGAGTTGCTGCGCAGCCACGATTCGCGGCAAGTTCATCTGCAGACAAAATATCGGAATTTGAGCGACCAAGCCTGTCGCCACCACCGTACTGTAGTATCGAAAAGACCCGTTACTTAGAGTGCAACTCAGATTCTAATTTCCTACAAGTTCAACAGCAGAGCAGAAGCTGCAACAACTGCCAGGCTAAAAGTCATGCCAAAAAACCCTATGCCCCCAAAGGGGAGACTGAATGGCCTCCCTACTGAGATTGGCCAACCCCAGCTCACCTCTTCCGCCGCCTGCACCCACTTATAAATCCCATATGCCGTCTCATTGCTCACGCCGATGTAGCGCACCTGCGCCCAGCGCGCCATGCACCGCAAGCTCATCCCCAGTACAGTACATGTACGGTACAAGTGTCAACATGCATCAAGCACTTGGCACGACGTAAATATTGCTAAATTCACGAAAGTCGCAAGGGGCATCCTGGAAGCACAGCGCTTGGATCGGAAGGCAGCTACTAGCCAGTGTCAATAGGTGAGGGACATCAAAGCAGTAAATGCTGGTTAGACAGGCAAGCCATGTAGAAGGAAATTCAGCTACAGCCAAAAGCAAATACCTTGCCCTTCTTTATCAGGCCCGAAAGCATTTCTAGCTGTTGCTCAATAGGCACCGCATCCGGCCTCTCCAGCTGCAGAAACTCGCACATGAAGCGAACTTAGCACCCTTCTGCATTAAACCTGCCTCACGGAATGCTACTTTTGAAACAGTTAGTCAGCACCGACAGCGGCAGCTGCAATGTGCAACCCGTACTCCCCAGCAGTAGGTATCCTCTCCCAGCTCTTGGCGGGGTACGTAGCGGTGAGGGTCAGTGAGCTGGAGTAAGTCAATGCAGTCGATTCCCAGCCGTTGCAGCATGTTGTCCACTGCTGTCTCCAAATCTTTCCTGAAAATCGGCAGAGATTCATCGTGCGCATTCTGCATCACGTTGCTGCTTGTAGGATATCAAACTAAACCCCTGACACTGCAAAAGTCATCAGCTACAAAAGGAAGGGTTACAAGGCAAAACAACTCACTCCGTTAATTGCGGGGAACCATGCGGGGCCCTTGCCCACCACCCCATGGGCCTCGCCCAGCGGATGTTGCCGTCTGTGTCAGGACCAACCGTAAGTGATGCAGCTCTTACAGCATCAGCAGCAGCAGCGGCGATTCCTGCTCCGTCAGCTCCTTCTGCTGCTGCTGCCTCCGCAGCAGTCCATGCAACCATTTCTCTTCGTCTTCTCTCGAGAGCAAATCGCTCGTAGTCAAACGTTCCAAGCGAACCACTGAGGATCCGCACAGAGATGAAAAGACGTTGTGCCTCTGCTCGTAAGTCCCCTTCGGGTGTTGTGGTTGCTGCATGCGCCGATCCTGCGGGAGATGGAGAGTGGCCCTGGGAACTCTGCACTTCGCTGCATCCACCTCCCTGGCCACGATACTTCTGAAAGAATTGGCGCAGAACCCCCCGATGTCCGGAACCGTGGTGGTGAGGGGCGTGAGGCAGAGGGTCGAGTTCTCCCACGTCCTGAGCAGCGGCAGCAGCAGATGCCTGCACCAAATCCTAAGACTTCAATCCTAAGCGCGACAACTCAACGTTAATCTTCTAACGATGGAGCACAATAACATGCAGAATCAGAACAAGATAAAACAAGCCTAAGGCCTACGTAAAAGTTAATCCCGTATTCTTCGTAAGCCGTGCAGAGCATTTTGAGAGCCGATGCATCGTCCTGCATTACGTTGCCGCCAATCAATGAAGTCCCAACACAAATGCTGCTGACCAGCGGTCCCATAGAAAGCTGCTGCTTCTGCTGCCCCGACTGCTGTTGCTGCCGCTGCTTAGCCTGTGGCGGTAGCGGGCAGCCGAGGCGCCTGTAGGTGACTCCTGCGATAGCACACGAACACAAAGGTGTACGTGCTTGCTCTTAGTGTACATGCATGAAGTCTAAACTGCCAACGCCCTAATCTTACCGGCAACAAGTTCAGGATGCGGCAGACGCAGAGCAATGGGGAAGGCATTTCGCTCTTCTTCTGCTTCCTTGGCCTTCCTCAGCACCCCCATCCGCAGGGACAGCGCAGCGCTCCTGGGATCCGCCAGTCTGCTACTTTCGGCAGCATCATGGTTGTGGACTTCAGGCTGTTTTCTCCTACGAGGACCGCTAGGAGGCCCCGCTTTGCGCGCAGCATGCTGCTTGCTTAGGCAGCGTGGGGAAAGGCCCGCATCAGGCCTCTTCCGCAGGAAGGCCAAGGGTTCCTGAAGAGCACAACCACCTCCTTTTAAGCCTTGAGGTGTACCGTAAGAGCAATGCCAGTTCCGCCCTTCCCCGTACGCGTCACCACACTGGCGGGGCCTCCATGGGAAGCTACCCGCTCGCTCCCTATGGTGTAGCTGAAGATCCTGCAGCTGCGGCAGTATCTGCATGCGCATGGCTTCTAGTGGCGTAACATTCGGGAAGAAGAATAGTAGCAGGAGGAAACAAGTCAAGGACAGCAATGGAACCGCCGCACGACCGTAAATCGTCATTTTCAAGACCCAGCCTATGAGGAGGCCATGGGCTCCGCATGCAACGGCACATCGCCCTCATTCACTCTCCGCTCTTCACCTTACGCAACATCGCAATTTAGTTCACGTTCGAAGAGGTTGGGCCCAGGGGCCCCCAAAGGCGATATTACAGCGGGAGCAACTTTCCACCCATTTTGAGCATATTCTATGCATAGTCCCTGTAGAAGGGGAACTGACTGGTTTACTGTGAAGCCAAATGCTGCTTAAGCGCAGCCAGCTGACATTTAAGGGTTCTGAGGAGTGTGCCGCTGATAGAGGACGCGATCCGCGAGATGTTCGGGGTGTCTAGACGGATGCAGGTACACCTGTTAACTTAGATGAAGATGAAAAAGCTGATGGAGAGTGAACATGCGAGAAGAAGGGGACAGAATCAAAGGGAGAGGGGCTGCTTGCGGAGACTGAGTGGCGTGTCCTTCGCGGTAGTTCCCCCCTGCTGAACTCGAGGTATCATCAACTTATATGTTTCTGCTTTAATGAGTTTGCATAAAAACGCAAATGCAAAACACATTATTTACAACAGACGAAGTAGAATTGTTTTGAGCTAAATGTAAGATGCCTAGAAAGAGAAGAGCAAGATAATTACGCACGGATGGCCGAGTGGTCTAAGGCGCCAGACTCAAGTTCTGGTGGACGGACGTCCGCGTGGGTTCAAATCCCACTTCGTGCAGTCATTCCAATGGTGTCATTTCTTTTGACACCTTCTCAAATTTGTATATTTGACTTTTCTCCCCTATTTTCACGGCTCACAAAATAAAAATTACACGCTTTCAATGACAGGCATGACGGCCTCGACCGCCATGGCCGAAAACAATGTAGCAGGACCTCTGCCGGAGCTTTGCTGCAATTTGTTTAAAAACGCTTTCAAATAATCAATAACGAAGATTTGGCTTATGGGTTTTAGATTTTAGTGTGTGGGGTTTACCTTTTCTCCAAGGGTTGTTTGCTGCTTTGCAGGCAGTGGCGTAGTAGCAGAACGCGCTTCTGTGCCGCCATATTTGAGTACTATTCACTTAAATACGGATATAGTACAAAAAGCGTTAGAGATGTCTAATATAATGATGACGAATGGCATTAATTGTCTACACCTGCCGCCTCCTCCACATGACTTGGCCTCATTCTTGCAGCACCTGCAGCCATCATCCTCTCTAATTCACTCTATGCATTATCTCTCTTTAACTATCTGATTTTTCTGCTTTAACGAGGTACAAAAAGTTTTTCATTTAGGAGGACGGTTTATGAGTGTGCTGCGGGCAGCTTCTGATGCACGGATGGCCGAGTGGTCTAAGGCGCCAGACTCAAGTTCTGGTGGACGGATGTCCGCGTGGGTTCAAATCCCACTTCGTGCATGCTTTGAAATGTCCGGTTTTCCTACACTGCAACAACCTCATGGGGATTCCCAAACATAAGACCTCCTATAAGCGGTCCTAAGGACTCCAAGTAAACCTCTGTTATGTTGTATGCCTTGGTGAGATACCTCCACAAAACGTTGACACACATTTTAGATTCATCTAGAGACAGTCACAAGGAGCATCTGCACCGCTGGGAAAGCAGCAGAAAGCAGGCTGGGCACGAGAAGAAGGTGGTGTATCTGTAGACAGCCCGCTGTAGAGTGTGAATGAGCCCCCCATCAAGAGAATTGAGATGGGGAGGAGTAGAAGCGACAAAAGTAAAAATAACAAGGAATCCACGAATGCACGAAGTGGGATTTGAACCCACGCGGACATCTGTCCACCAGAACTTGAGTCTGGCGCCTTAGACCACTCGGCCATCCGTGCGAAAGTCCGTCGCCTAATCAACACAGCAATTATATTTTTCGTGTACTTTAGGGTCTAGGGCTTTCTTTCTCTGAGACAGCACCGCAAGGAGCAGCAGTATAGCAACAGCAGCCTTTCTGCACCTTAGAAGACTCGTCAGTATATTAGCTTAGCTGCGCTGCCTCGTGCCTCTCCTCTTGCCGGTATACATACGTATACACCCACAGATAGCTTTCAGCCGATAGTGTGGTGTTTGCTGGCTGCATGCGAGGAGGCAGTGTTGCTTTGTATCTGTCCGCATACAACTGAAGTATATATCAGAAGATGAGTGAAGCATGCAACGACGTCTTAGCAAAAAGCAAAACAGATTTGTTGTCTGACCCAGAGGGAAAATTAACAGCCCCTCTTCTCTCGAAAAACGAGAATATACACCCACTCTATCCCGCCTTCTTGCCCCTGCTGAGCTGCTTCTTGCTAGCAACCCGTGCCTTTGTCAACAAGCGAGGGGAAACAAAGACATGCGGCCTGCCAAGCTTGTTGCGGAAAAAGTCCTCGGGGCCCCAAGGGCCCCTCTGGCCAGAGAGGGGCCCCCCTTCCTGAGTCTTCTCTGTATCTACCGCCTCCTTAGCAGCAGCGCGCAGCTGCTGCAGGTTTAGGAACGGTATTAGAGGCCGATGTAGCCACTCAGGTAGTTGTGCTGCTCTGTCTGCCGTGGGTTTTCTTTCAAGAGCCCTTTCCAAGGCCTTCCTTCCTTGTTCAAAAGCTGCAGCAACAGCAGCATTCGTTGCAGCTCCTTCTCCTGCTCCTGTTCCTGCTGCTGAACCTTCTCCAGCTGCTGCGACCCCTGCTGCTGGTGTTGCTGCTGCCAGAGGCGGCTCCTCCGAGAGCTCTGCTGCCTTCCCTGGGTAAGGGATGGCTTGGAGGGGGCAGGGGTCTACCAGGAAAGAGGAGGGGAACAGGTGCTTCACAAACGAGTCGTTTGGGGCTGCATGCAGGCGCCTGTAGGGCCCCGGCAGGAGCCCGCTGCTGCTGGGGGGCAACACAGCTAGCAGTTGCTGATAAGGAGAGATAGGCTGAGAGTGAGGCAGGGCCACTCGTAGCTTAGCAGCCTTGAGGGCCCCCAAGTCCGATGCTAGCGGCGCGTAGTTGTATGGAAACTCCCAAGACCAAGAGGGGGCCCCGCTGTGGTAGTAGTGTAGCAGGAAAAACAAACCCGATATGTACTTTACACACAACTCGTGTCTAAACACCCCGAACAGAACCTCCGGAAGGCGTTCGGGGCTCCCAAAGGCCCCCCGTGCCTCGTGTCCGTCTGTCGTCGTATGTTCAGATGCTGAAGAAGCAGCAGCAAGCGCTTCTGCTGCTGCAAGATCGCGTAGGGGAAACTTTGCAGCGTAGTACTCCGCTGCATGCCGGGCCTTGAGGGGCCCCGGGGGCCCCTCGGGTTCGAAGTGTGGCCCCTCTTGTTCTGCAAGGAGCGCAAAGAAGCGGATAAGACGGGGCAGATGGATTTGCGTCTTCCGCGTCAGGGGGCCCCCCAACCAGGGAAGGGCTCTTGTATACAACTGCAGCAAAGAAGAAAATCCTCCTGCATAAATGTTAATGTGAGGTAAAGCGGGTAAGAAATCATTCCCCACAAAAAAAGAAAGCAAGACGAAGTCGTCAACTAAGCGGCTTGCGTCTAAACCTCGCATAAGCGGCATTGGTAGGGGCCCGAGGGCCCCCAAGAAGGGGCCCCCCCCTGCAGCAGGTGGTGCCCCTAAACAATCAATACTTGCTACCAGTGCAGATAGATTTTTGCGCATATCCTTAGACGAGCCCGAAGCAGCAGGGAAGCGCTTCGTTGACGCTGCTGCTGCTGCTACTGCTGCTGCAGTTCCTGCTTCGTTTGCTGCTGCAGATGCCAGAGAACGCACCAACTGGCGACGTAGAGTGTCTATACAAACCACCTCGAAGTCTTTTGCTGTGTAGCGCAGGAAATCGCCAGAAGCAGGCAGCAGCAATTCATCAAACGGTTGTTGCTGCTGTTGCTGCTGCTGTGGTTGTTGCTGCTTCTTTTTTCCTCTGCCCTTACCTGTCGCATTCCGTTGCTGTTGCTGTTGCTGCTGTTCCTGCTGCTGCTGCTGCTGTTCCTGCTGCTGCTGCTGTTCCTGATCTTGCATAGCAGCTTGTATGCGCAGCAGTACTTCTCTTGTTGCTGCTGCTCTTGTACTCCATAAAGATTTTTGTTTCTCTCTTAATATTAAGAGACCTGGTCTTTGTCTTGCTAATGCTAAGACTAATAAATCAGCATCTAATCCATATAAACATATACGACCAGGAAGAGGAATCAGTAACTCAGATGAAAACTGCTGCTGCTGCTGCTGCTGCTGTTGCTGCTGCTGCTGACTCGGTGTTGCATTTCGTGCTGCTTGCGACGACGATGATGCCTGTGATGCTGCTCCCTTTGCTGCTGCTGTTGCTGCCATCGCTGCTGTTGTTGCAGAGTTGCCTTCATCGCAGCCTTCAAATGACGGGGGGAGCAGCAAACGAAACCTTGTGCCTGCCTCCCTGTTTCTATGCTGCTGCCGCGGGTGCTGCTGCTGCTGCTGCTGCTGCACCTCGCTGCTCCATGCATCTGCTAGAGCAGCACTGTGGGGCCCCCAAGACCCTCTTGTAAGAAGTTGCATTAATTTATGTTCTCCTTCTCCTGGTACATCTGCACCACTGAGAAGAACGGCGCGCATGCAGCCCCAAACTCTGCTGCTTCTTTGCTTATAGGAAATAAAACGCTTTAATGCTGCCTCTGCAAGAAACATGAAATGGGTACCAGGTCCAATGCTATTTATATCAAATTTGTTATCTTCTGCTGCAGTTGCTGCTGCTGCTGCTGCTTCTGCTGGTTGTTGTTGTGTCCTACTAGGCTTGGCGGTTGCTTTGGGGCGAGTTGCTGCGCCTGCAGCAGTCCCTAATTCGGACTCAAGCATCAGCTGCTGCTGCTCCTGCAGCTGCTGCTGCTGCAACTGCTGCTCGCGCTGCTGCCTAAAGCGGCGACCCCGCTGCTGCGCCAACTTAGCAGCAGGGGGTACCCCATCTAGTGTAACACAGAGAAGAGAGCGGGGTCTCACGAGTCTGACGAGCAAGTCTAGGTAAGATAACACCCGTTGCAGCAGCAGCGGCAGGTGCTGCTGCTGCAGCAGCGGCTGCAGTTGTTGTTGCTGCTGCATCAGACTCAGCGCAGGGAGTGTGCTAGGGAGGTGTCCATGGATGCATAGATGCATCAAAGCGTTGAAGTCAATCAGCAGCGCATCAATTGGGACTTGCTGCTGCTGCTGCTGCTGGCAATCTTGGTTGCGCTGCAGCAAGCTGAAATTCTTGCCTGTTCCTACTGCTGTTCCTGCCCCACTCCCCCCATGAAATTGCTGCAGCAGGAGTTCATCTTCCTTAAGAAGCTGCTGCAGCATCCGTTCCCTGCTGCTGTTGTTGCTTCCGGTCTTCGTGCTGCTGCTGCTGCTGCTAGCCTGTGCTGTTTTGCGCCAGACATACCTCTGTAGGGGCTGTACACATGTGGGGAACTGGTTACAGAGCCATCGATAGAAATGGGGAATCCCTTTTGCTGCTGTGCTGCTGTTGCTGTTGTTGCTGTTGCTGCTGCTCCTGCTCCTGCAGCTGCTCTGGTTGATCGTATAAACCCTGCCGAGGGCCCAACAGTCGCGGAGCCAAGGGCTCCCCCTGCTGATGCAGTAGCTGCTGCTGTTCCAGTTGCTGCTGCTGGTCTTAATGTATTCAGCAGCAACAGCTGCATTTCGTGGCACCTGAAAGGCGATAGGGCGGAGTTTGTGGCGAAGTCGTGGCTGAGTAAGCCACTGCGTGGGGGGCCCCCAAGGGGGGGCCCCCCGAGTTGGTGTTGCCTGCTGCTGGCTCAGCAGCAGCAGCAGCAGCAGGAGAAGAAGGTGAGACAACCACTGGTGCTGCTGCCGCTGCCGCTGCTGCTGCTGCGCCTTCCTCTTGAGAGGGGCACCCATGCATACGGGGTTGTTGCAGAGGCAGGCAGCCTAACGGCTATCTTTAACGAATATATTACACAAGCATCTTCCTTAAAATGTAAATATTTTCTTAATTTAATTAGAAAGATGATCTTAAGAGGGTTTATAACTGCAGCGTGTTGTGCAGCAGTAGACTCAAGAAGGAGGGGGGGCCCCAGAGGGTTCGCTGGGGGCCCCTTGTACAACATCGAGCCATGTCATCATCGGCACCTTTTCTTGCTTGTCTTGCCCTTTATTTGCATTTTCTTCTTATTTATTTATTTTTTATTTTATTTTGAGTTATTATTTCTTTCTTCGCCTTGTTCTTTTCCGTAGGAGGGTCGTCGTGTGTGCACCGTATGCATACAACAAGGCAATACCCCCCTTTACATTGTGTGTCCGACTTATTATTTGTAATTGTTCAACTGTTTAAAGTTATTTTATGCATTTACATTTATTTATTTGTGTTTATGTATATTTGCTGCGGCTCTTGTTGCTCTGCAGCGGGCCCGTTGCAGCTGGGTAAGGAAGAGTTTACTAGCAATAATTCGTCTTTACAGCCCCATTAGTGCATGCAGCAAGAGCTGAGTGCTGAGTCTAATTAAGCACGCATGTGAGGAGGTTGCTGTTGCGCTGCAACAGGAGCAGCAGCGCAACAGCAACGTGTTTGCTGCTGCAGCTAGCAGAGTCATCTCCTTCAAGGCTTAGGGTTTAGGGTTTAGGGTTTGCTGCTGCAGCACCTCAAAGAGGGCAATATCTGCTGTCCCTCCTGTCTCCTACTCTCGTAGTCTTTGGGAGATGTTTCCTGCTGCTAAGGAGACACTAGCAGTGTCTCCTCACTAGCGACTAGTTCACAAGTATTACGATATAATAACAGTATATAAGTAATAATATCTGTTAATTATATATAATAGAACAATTATTTAGTAGGAAAATAATGCACAACACCATTGGGGATGTTTGCCGGTTAACCCTATATCCATATATATATATATATATATTAT